CACACACACACACACACACACACACACACACACACACACACATATATATGTATATACATATATGTATATATACGTATATATATGCATACATGCGTACATACATACATGAATACATACACACATACATACACGATACTGCTGGAAGTGGAGCGTATGTAGTTTTTGTACTTGTATTTCGCCGAATGCAAACTCTACCAGTAGCTCTAATTTTTAAACTTCATGAAGTACACAGGTAATTCTACCGCACCACGGGAATCTTGTGATGGCAGGGCTGCAGATTTTCAGTCTGCAAACCATGTTGTCCCTAATATGTTAGGCTGTACAGTACCAAGCTACATTCAGAAGGGACCGGTTTTCCGGGAAAGTGCATTAATTGAATTATCACTGCCGGTGTTTTTGCAGGTGAATAAAAATGACTACAAGTTAACATTCGAGGACAGCGGCCAGTGGACCAGCGGTAATCTGACAACATGGGGACGCATCCGAAGCACCGAACCATTGGATGAGAAAACGAACAGTGCGCCTGAATTGGGTGGCAATCCGAAATCGGCAGCAAACGAGCAGCAGCGACCGTCGAGCCTGTTGGCGACATTCGTGGAGCGACAGCCCGATTATGAATATTCAGAGCTTTACATGGGTAAGCAGCAGCCATGCCACTGCAAGCGCTTCTGCTTGCCAGCACTTCCTCTGAGACGGATATCGCATGTTACATCATCCGAACAGATAAATATCGATCCAGTCCCCCCCTTTCAGACAACAGCCTTTCACAATGGCGGATTAGCTTTACTGCAGTCCAGCGATTAGCTGGGCTTCATTTCGCTGGCTTAGTGATGAGTCACATTTCAGGAAATAGCGAACGGCATTGCTGCCCTTGCATTGGGCAATCACTGGCGATGTACTGGCTCCTCTTTTAACAGAAAATGAAAAAAAAAAATTTTTTTCGTCGCAAAAAATACAAGGGGTTTAGATCTCTCCAAAATACACTGAGTCCTAAATATTTATTGAAGCGCAACAAAAAGTAGTTTCGTTTCTTTAAGCCGGTCCTCGAATAAGATCCAAAAAATCTTAGCGCAGCGTCGATTTCTTCGGAGAGCCTGATACAGCCAGACAAATGCCACTGCTCATCTCACCCAATATCTTCCAGAAGGAATGAAAACAAGAGGGGGAGAGTCGCTTCGGAGACGTTTCTCCTCAGCTGTTCTGTAATCAATCAAAATGCCTGATGGCGGTCATTTGTCAGCATCTCTAATTCAAAACGTGCACTGGCAGCAAGTGTAATTGTAAACTACTGCAGCGAAATGCTGTGCAAAATCAACAGATAAACATCTTCACGGATACAATACATTTTACTTTTAAAAACAGTTTTTTCATGAATGATAATTCACGATAGTTGACAAATGGCTGCAACGCATCGAAACAATGCGCGAATAGGGACTAATCCCCAGAATAGGCAGATTCAAAGCGTTTTAAGATCCGTGCTTTTAATTTACTGTTCTAGTGAGTGCTCCGGGATCACGGATAGGTTCGCGCTTTTTGCTGAAAAAGAGAATTAGTGTGGCATAACCTATAAACTAATTTTTGTTGGTTAAAGATTGAATGTAGCCCCCAGAGTACGAGCACTTCTGGTGATTCTGCTAGAAGGGAAGAATGCTTCTGGCAGTGTGAATGCACTGAAAAAAGTGGTAGCTGTAGAGGAAGTGATAAGCATTGTTAAAAGTTTTGTCTCCTTAAAACAACAATAAAATTCTTCATACATTGTACGGAAGATTAGCATCGGTTTTTCTTTTCACTGCTGCTTCTAAGCGCTGAGCTTAGGCGTGGAGATGCCACCGGAAATTCGGCAAAAACTTACATAACGATGTGGATGTATGTGTATTTAGTCGGAGGAATGGAGTGAATTTCTGAGATTGCTCTGATGTGGAAATGCGAGGAAGAGGCTACATACATGCAGCTTAGGATAAAAACCCTTGCAGGCCTTCTCATCCACCATACAATTTAAAAATGTTAATTTGAAGGGAACGGACGTTATGTTGATGTGAACGATAACGAGATTGGTTTTGCTCCACAGACCACCGTGACTGTACAGCGGGCTGACCGATGGCGTGCTGCGAACCGTCTGCCTCCGAATCCACCAATGAAACCGCGCCGAACATTTGCCGATTTCCAGACAACGCGTGCCCCGGAGCTCGATTTCATGGCCATGAATCATAATGTTAGCCATACTTTTCGTGTGGTTCAGTCGCTGCTGGGCAGGAATCTATTCCAGGCTTATTTCTTTCTCCTCTTTTCTGCTCGCTGTTCGCTCTCTGTTTTCATTAATTATGCGTCTTTGTTAAGCTTAGTAGAGCTGAGATTGAAATGGATCGGTCACTTCGACTACTCCTTCCCATTCGGGTTCCTTTGTCCATCTTTCACTTGTGGACAGTTTTTGAATTGGGATTCTTGTAGATGTGTTCTGGGAATTCGGTCGCTCTCTTGAGCAAATTAACCTTAATCTAAATGTAAACCTGAGACAGTAATAAGTTTGCGTCCCCAAATAAGACGTGTTGTTTCACGATAGCATTTCAGTAGTCCTAGAATCAGATGTGATTCAGCGACATACTAAATTGATCATATTTGCGGCCTTCCTTTCCCTTTCTCGATCGCAAGTGCTTACTTTCTTGGCTTTAGAGACACAGCTGAATTTTGCTGTTGGTGTTTTTCAGAGGTTTACTGAATTTGCAAAAAAACCGGCACATTTTTGTTGAGGTTGAATCTGTTTGTGCTGTTCATTAATAAGTCCTCAGTTACGGGTTAGATTCGAAACACACTGGGAGAGAAGCTGCTTCTCAAATGCCAAGCATCCGGCAATTTAAATTTCACTCGAACTATTGCCATTTCCATCCAGTTGTCCGCTTTTAAATTTGTTTAAGCATGACCCATTTGTGCCCAGGCTGCGCTAGTCCTTGTAGCAGTTTCCAGGTCTCATGTAGGAAAGTGCATAGGATGTGTTGATCACCCGGCTGCACGTCGCCTGCAAAAAAGTGCTCCAGAAGCCCATGCTAAATCGAAATCAGTTTTTGGAAATTCTGTAGTGTTAAAGGGATATATCGTGGCAGCTACAGAGGTAGTGCGAAAGCTCTGCAATGCCTCTGTAACTGCCACGATATTCTCTTTTACAGAGGTTCTACACATCTCGCATACGGTCTCTATCCCTCAAAGGACTTGATTTTTGCAGTAAACTGAAAAGGCGGCATGTAGCATTGAGTTATTTCTGCACTGCTACTCTTCATTGCACACTGGCTTTTTTATCCTGAGCCCGCAATCAGCCTCTTTCTCTTGCTAACTGCTTTTTGGTTCGCAACTGGGCTTTGAAATCCTCTCATTTCTTTATGAATTCCCAGGAAAACTTTTTAATTTTGCTTATTAAAGCTTAGCAGAGGAAATGCACCAACTGTTCTGCAATAGTGCATGCTGTTTGAGTACGGAGATTTGAAAGAAAAGTTTTTTTTTATTAAATATTGAAGGACATTTTCGAATAGCAATATATAAAGCGTTCGTGCAGAGAGAAAGGCCATTAGTTTGGATAAAAATTCTGATTTTTTATGAAAAATTGCCAGGAAATCTTAGAACCTATGATTTTTACGGGTTATCGTTTTCTTTGCCCACAGAATGTTTTAAATGGAGCGTAAGGATGTTATCGTACATCCTTCACTGTGATGCCTGTAATTGGCAGGCCATTTTTGACCGTAAATTCTTTATCAAATATACCAAATTCAGAACATGAAAAACTTTCGTAGAATTAGCAAAATTAAAGCCTTAGAAATTGCCATAGCGGAGAAAGCCCTGCATTCGGGGTCAAGTAATTTGGGAACATTTTTGACTGTGTGTACAACGGATGGGACAAGTACACTTCAAAATGCGGGAAAATCGAGCATGAAGAAACCTGGCTGCTGGAATGCATGCCTAAGAGCTTGTTTTTTTTTTTGAATTTTTGTGGTATATTCGATAAATTCATTTTATACGTATAGGAAATAGAGCAAAGCTGGGATAGGGAAGGCATAGTTGGTGTGCGTTTCATTTGGCAGCGTACACTACAGTGGGCATCATCTCTGTGCATGGGTGAATGGGTCGGCGGCATATTGCCCCCAATCCTTCCGCATTTATTTATTTATTTTTTGCCATAAATTTTAGTTCTGAGTAATGTATTGCAGAAATCGCAAGCACTCTTTGATTTCGAAGGGGCGTGAGAAAATGAAACTAATATTTCTGAAAACGGACTGAAAGCGGATGTAGCCTGAGTGGTAGCATGAGATACTGCTAGCACCATCCACCTACCGCTAATGGTTCTCGATGTTTCGAAAATTAATAAGGTTAATCTCTATACGGTTAGAGAGGGGGCGCTCGCTATTGTCAGGCTGTGAAAAGTGAGTGCATTGCAGATGCCAAGTCTGTGCCAGTCATCCGTGTCGATGAGTGAAGTGCTAGAGAAATTAAAAGAGGGAGTGCTGGAAGATGAAAAATTCGATTTCTCGTTGCTCAGTGTGTTGGAAAAACGGGGCCCTGATTCGGGCTTGGGCAGCAGCGCTACAGCAAGCAGTGGCCCATCTCATATTGAAGACTGGCCATCATTAGCTATACTTTTGCCCAAGTAAGCCACTTCTCCTTACTTTTTCCGAACTTTAAAGAATTTTCTGTTGTATGTGTGCCTGTGTCTGCGTTAGTTTCTTTTCGTATTTGTGTCTGCTTCTTCGTTTGTGTGTTTATGAAAGTGCATTCCATTACTGCGCACTGCTTTGATCAATTTACGGTTGTGTAAATTTAGGAGCCACTGAATGTTGTTGATTTAAAATAGTAAGAAAGATTGTTTTTCCTGTAACTTAGCATTCTATATCCAATCTTTTGATATTCCGCTTTTTAAATTTTCCAAATATTCCTTTAGTTTCGGTGCTCTAACGCTCTCATCTACGGTAAATTATTGTTGAGCGGATAAGCGTTTTGCGCATCGTTGCTCCTCTTCGTTCCCAGTTCCGGCTTTTGGGCATCCTTTCTGCTCCTGCTTCCTTTCCCCCGAATTTGAAGATGTTTAATACACGCAGATCATAAGAGCCTTTTTGTAGGATATTTTTGTAAATTCTACAGTTATGCGGATAAGTTTTGCAGACATGTTGCCGAGGCATGTTCGTTTTTCAAGGCCAATAGCCGGCTGTTGACAGGATCGAACAATATTGAACGAATAACACCACGCAGGAATGAACCTTGTAGGACATGCTTCAATGTTAGGAGGCGACTTCATCCGCCCATTTGGGCACAGCCAGCTAGCGCACGACATGTTCTCTGTGACTGTACGAGCAGTGAGGTTTGTATAAGTATTAAATATCGGCTGGTCTGCTGCATGTTGTCACTTTTCTGACATATCATTCGAACCAGTGGCTCTGTGGGTTTTTTTTAGTTTGCAGGTAAACAGTGCTGTGCTTTCCTAAGCGTGATTGTCGAAAAAGCGTTCCGGATGAGAACGATCATCGTTCATCATCAGCAGCTAGAGATTGCTTTGCTGTCATTCAAAGCAAATTGTCGTTGTGCACTTTGGAGATGTTGTTGCATCTAGCATGCATCACATTCCCCTACGGGCCTGCTAAACTGCGGCAATTATCCGTAAGATAGATGTGCTGCTGGCAAGGATGGCGCAGTGGTAACATTGTTTTTGTGCCGAATAGGTCGAAAATTCGACTATGCCGGCGAGACAGCCAGTCAGTCCTATGATTAGCTTCGATGGTAAATTAGTACTGGCATATGCAAGGGGGAGGGGGGAGGGTCATATCCGCCATCAGCTTGCTTCTTTGCAGTCTTCAGAAGAGGAACCCATTGACAGTCTTTCCAGCAGGTGGTTACTGTTGGCATTTGCTACCGCTTGGGTTATTTTTCTAGTGCCTGATAACGAAATACAAGGGAAGGGGAAGGGAGGGGCTGACTTTTCGTAGATGTTGCTAAGATTTCTACACACTGAATTGTATTGGACTGCAAATGTAGAGACGACCAAATTTAAACTCGAAAGGAATCTTGTGTCGTTTGTTTCTAAATTCCCATTACCATGATTGATGAGGAGCTCATTTCGACAGTGATTTCCAATACCAATAATGTTAGTGGGATACATCGACCCACCGGGACAGTCATTCCCAGTTGTTAAATCCACGGCTGCATATCTTTTGTAATCAGTACTCTCAGCGTCTCTTTGCTGTTCTGAAACAGTGTGATATAAAATGGTGTTTATTGTCACGACGCGCTCACCTTATCATCTGCCAGCAGCATTTTTATCAAAAGGGAGCATCAGTTGTGCTGCTGATTTATCGGATGTTAACCTTGTTGATTGGGTGTTTCGATTACAGAAGTTGTTGCCACGTTGTTTGTTAGTTATGCGAAAGTCAGCATCACTGAGCGACCCCGAATTGCAGATTGTTGATCGACAAACCTCTGCTCAGGATCAGCTAGCAGCGCTAGGCCGTCTTAAGCTGCGAGCCCAGGAACTGAGCATTGTTGGTCTACCCATTTATGATGCCAAAAGGAAACTTGTTGAAAAGGTATACTTGCACATTCGTCATTTTCATTCATAGGCACATAAATGAACATCATTCAAAATTCTGAAAATTACGAGTTGCTTGTGAGCCGAGGGTTTGATAAGCGTTTTTGCTTTGCTGTGTAAATCGTAAAACATTCCCATCTGTTTAATAATTGGTTAGCTATGATCTAATGCGATAAGTTCAGGTGGTGGAAGGAGTGGCAGAAGTGGCACGTGGAGAATCATCGGCTAATTTATGTACCGCTCTGGGGGCACTACTCGCCGATGGACTCAAAAGCAAGCATGCTTGGGATATGATTGTTACTGTTACGGCGCCGGGTACGTCTTGCATCATTTAATTCATTTTTTTTGCATTTTTTGCTCTGTAACAGTTATACCAAGTCTTTATGCTGACGCACCTCTATGTTTCTGTATGTGTGTATGTGTTTTGTCTTAGGATTTCAACTCAAAAACTATAAGCTAAGAGGTTAAAATTTCAGAATTATCTTCTCTGCTTACATGCATCCCACAAATTCAAAAGCATTCTTCAGGTACTCCTAGATCTGATATATGGCCCGTCATAGCCACTATTTCGGGGACGGAGAATCCAGGAAACTGAAATTTCAAGGCGATGTTTTGTGCCTCTGCGGGATCTTTCAAACTCGAATTTAGCTTTCTTGCATGCCTAGAATCTGAGCTGGAATTTAGAATGATGCTTCCTGTTAACATGCGGTCTTGAAATTTCAAATTCAGCTTTCTTCTTTGTTTAGTTCTTAAGTACGGACAAGCAAAATTTCAAGTGGGGAATTTTTAGTTCGGAAACCGAACAAAATAGCTGAAATTTTCAGCTAATATTTTTTGTTCATTTACGATCCCACATATTTAAATACAGTCGTCACCACGTACGACCACATGAGATTTTTGATAGGGCTCCAGAGCTTAAGAACCAGGCAGCACACAGATTATTTTTGCTTACACTGAAGTATAGAGCAGTCAAAATTCTTAACAGCAAACATCCGCTGGTCGGGACTGCACAAAACACTTGATATCACTGGCCATTTGGTGCGCATAACTATTAATTAATGTTACCATCTTATTTAAATAATTGTTTTGCTTTATATTTTACTGATTTCTTTTGCAAAAACTAAAGCGCCATAGAGTGCTGGTTGGGTGAGTTTGTGGTGGTGAGGAATTAACGCTTTGCTTCGTTTTGGAGCGTCAGAATTAACATGTAGGAATTTTGAAACTCATGGGATTTTTTCCTCTACTAAAAAGTCATTTAAAAAAAAAAGCGCAAAGGTGGTTTTTTCCGGTGGCACATTTTTTTTTTTCGGCATCTAAACAGCTCAGCATGCGAGGTGATAAAAAAGTAGATACTGGTCGAAAAATTGTAAGAATATTTTGTTCATTCGAGAGACACATTCGAGAGACCTTTTCAGGCCCGGCAACGGATAACGTGTATTCTGTGGTAAAAGAGTTGGACAAAAGCGAGAAGTCTCCAAATTCTCGTGTCACAGCTTTCTTCACTACATTGTTGAAGTATGTTGAATTTCAATTTCAGCCTCTGAATTAGAACGCAACAGTATTATAAGTATAGTCCTGATAGAACTAGCATCAGCGCGCGTTTTTTTTTTTCTAAATTTTTTGAGCAGTTCATTCAGTGAGGAAAATTTAGTGCTTGTATACACGTCTAGTTCTTATTTATCTGACTTGTAGAAACTAGTGGAACTAGAGGTTTGATATTGATTGAAAAAGTGAAAACGGATGACAGATGCGAACAATTACAAATAAGGTCCCATCAGAATGCTTACACAAATGCGAAGACGCATAATATGTGGAAATTGCTACGTAATTATGAGGGCTTAGGATGGATTCGGCAAAGAGAGGCAGAGGGGGGTCTTACCATCTCTGTTTTTGTGTAGCTGGCTGTACGAAGCAGTTATTGGCCTGTAGTCGATCCAATAGCAGGGTGCAGGTTGGCGGGGAGGAAAACGGCGAATGTAGCTAGCGGTT